GCGGGGGCGGGAGGAGCGGTAAGAGAGACCTAACTGTAGGTGTGTACTACAGGCCACCAAACCAAAGGGAGGAACTTGATCTGGAGTCACCCGTGAACTGACTGAGGCCACGCGTGCACGGAACATGGTTGTCATGGGCGATTCTGATTACCCAGACATCTCTTGAGAGGTGTAACAGGGAGCTAACAAACCCTGTTGCTAAGGGCAGGGAGAGAACGGCAGGGAGCATAAGAGTGAAGACGAGCAGGTGATGTCATCTGGTGAGACTATGGCTGGGAGAAGAAACTCACTTGTAATCAATAAGGACAAGCGCTCTGAAACAAGGGAGCAGAGAGAAAAGGAAACAGCTGCAAAAGATCAGCCCCTGGAAGGGGACGTGAGAGACAGAGAAAGAAGTTTGGGGAATCTCTCTGTGCAGAGGCAGAGGACAGGGAACGCCTTGCCCCAGTGAGCAAAGACACTGTCAGGGAGGTGGTGCTTACCTAAATGCTTACCGGAAGAGACCACAGTGTTTCTATGGAGCAGAGGGTTGTGGCTGAGCCTTCCTAGAAAAGAAAGAGAGATCATTTGAGGGAGTCTCCATAGAGGCTAATCACCTAATTTAAAGATATATAGAGACTGCATAACCAGGGCTTCAATGTAATCACTAGTAAGGGAAGTGCTGCGGGAACAGGGACCAAAGGCAAAGGGATTACATCAAGAGTGGTCCTCACTCAAGGACACGATCCTTAAAGCACAAAGGAAGTCTATTCCCACGTGGAGGAAAGGTAGCAAAAGAAAAGCCCTCTTGGCTAAAAAGGGAAATCATGGTCCTCTTAAAAAAGAAGAAAGAGGCGTACAAACAATGGAAACTTGGGGCATGCCCCAAGGAGGACTATACAACAATGGCCTGTACTTGTAGGGAACAGATTAGAAGGGCTAGGTGGCAAATGAACTAAAATTAGCAAAGGGGATCAAAGACAACAAGAAGTCCTTTTTTAGGTATGTAGGGAACAGGAAGACAATAAACGGGAGTGTGGGGCCACTGCTGAACAACTCAGGACAGCTGGTTACTGGTGCTCAGGAGAAAACTGAACTGAATGACTACTTTGCCTCTGTCTTTCACAGGGCCAAGGGGAAAAACATGCCAGATAGGGTATGGAAGGAGCAGTGTAGGAATGACTACCTTCCTACTATTGCTAAAGAACTGGTGTGTGACCAATTAAAAAATGTAGATGTATATAAATCAGCAGGCCTAAATGAACTTCATCTGAGGGTGCTGAAGGAGCTGGTTGAAGTCAGAGCAGAACCCCTGCCAAAGCTCTTCCAAAACTTGTGGCGCTCCAGAGAAGTCCTTGAGGACTGGAAGAAGGAAAATGTTTTGCCCATCTTCAAGAAGGGGTGGAGGGAGGACCCAGGTAACTATAGGCTGATTAGCCTAACTTCTATCCCAGGGAAAATCCTGGAAAAATTCATCAAGAAGTCTATATGCAGTAGGCTTGCAGAAGGTAGGATTCTAAATGACAGCCAGCATGGCTTTGTTGTGGGCAGGTCTTGTCTTACCAACCTCATCTCCTTTTATGATCAGGTAACTCGCTACCTGGATAACAGAGAGGAGGTTGACACAATGTTATCATGAGAAAATTGGAAGATTGTGGGCTTAACTGTGAGACAGTTAGGTGGGTAGGAAACTGACTATGGGGTAGGACCCAGAGAGTTCTACTAAACTTGGCAAGAAGTGGCCAGTGGTGTCCCTCAGGGGTTGGTGCTCGGTCCAGTACTTTTTAACATAGATTTAATAGATTTTAGGGTCGGAAG